TTTTTTTTTTTTTTTTTTACTTATGTGGTAATCAAGATAAGGGAAATTGACGCAGAAGTACAATAAAAGTATCTAAAGTAATTTCAGGATGTTTCCTATCATTTTAGATGATATGATCAGAATGTATCTATGACAAAGGGTTCTAAAAATATGGCTTCTTATAAAAAAGTGTTTCTGTGGCTCAATTTGCCCCAGGGTGGGGGGAAGATGCACCGAGTGTAAATTGACCATCTGACTGAATCTGATTCAAACCCATGTGAAATTTTAAGATAATTTACCTCTCATTTTAAGAGTCTTGGCATGGTAGCTTTTCTGCAATGTCTAACCGGCCATTAGGGACTACAGGTGGAAAGATATATCTGATTATAATGTGATGAAAAGCAGCATCTGGTTCTTATCAGAGAAGGAAGGTGAGCCCTGTGACTCGGAAAGACTTTATGATCAGATCAAAGTCGTTATAGACGCGTCCCTGCAGCGTACGTGCTTGCGCTTGACTGGCAATAAGCCAGAGACTGCGTTCAGGGAGCGCTGGATAGGCTAGTATAAATTAATGGAGTAATAGCACAACTTACGACAAAAGAACCGAGATAAGAAAAAAACAACAAAAAACGAATTACATGATTCGTCTAGTAGCGATCTCCGCTCGTGAAAAGCGCTGCCCTGTCCGTTTGATCGCCGCCCAGCAGACACACGGAGCGGGCATGAGAAACTTCACTGGTGCTCGCCTCATCATCACTGTGACCGCTGCTGTTAAATATTCCTCACTTCTTTTGTTTGTCCGACACCGAGGTGCACCATGAGTGACGGATCCGCATCCCGCCACGAGCCTCGCACTCTGCCAACTCGATGTGCTTTCATTTTCATTTTTATAGCCTATGTAATAAACACCTCTCTGAGACCTGTTTGCGTCAGATCTCCATTGTTTTTGTTCGATCAGTTACATATTTTATTGCATGTGCATTTTATTTTATTTAAACCTCCATTAAGTTTAAAGTTAATCCATAAATCGACATTTAAATCTGAGTTTAAAGTTATGGTGTAACAGGATTAAAGTTAATCTTAAATATAACTTAAATCCAGGATCAAAATGATGGGTTAAAATGTAAACCTGCTTATTTTTAAAGGTTTAAAGTTTGGTGCAACAGAATTATGAGATAAACCTTGATTTAACCTAGATGAATCATTGCAAACCATTTAGCTATAATTTGAAGAAGAAAAATGCACATTAGGCCTAATGTCTGAAGTGGGCAAGCGGCAATAGGCCTAATGATCATTTACAATATAATTTGAAGAAGTGTTTCTTTCACAAAATGAGTATTGAATATATAACTATAAAATATACTATTTTTATATATACTATATGTTTCTCCCCCTTCACCAGGCACTCATGTCACTTTCATTTCTTTCAGGATAAATAAATGAATTCACGTGTTGTAAATCAGTCTGTAGGCC